AGTAGGGCTTACTTTAGGGTAGGGCTTATATTCAGCACAGGCATGAAAATTGGGCTAGGGTTTATTTTCAGGGTAGCACCTATTTTCATGGAAACAGTATCTATCTATCTATCTATCTATCTATCTATCTATCTATCATCTATCTATCATCTATCTATCTCTCTTCTCTAGATAGTCCTCAACTACAGCATCCCCTTGGTCACATGACCAAAATGTGGCACTTGGCAACTGGCATATATTTATGATGGTTCAGGATCTTGTGGTCATGTGATCACCACCTGTGACCTTCCAACACACAAAATTAATGAGGTGTGTGTGCCAGATTCACTTAACAACCACAGGATTAAATTAAGAACTGTAGTGAGCCAGTTAATAAATCTGAAAGCAAGGTTGTACAATCAGCCATTTAACAACTGCTTTGTTTAGCAATGGAAATTCTGATCTCAACTGTGGTTGTAAATTGAGAATTATCTCTGCCTGCCTGCCTGCCTCTCTCTAGGACTGACCAATTTGATCACCTTGCAGTTCAAGGGATTCAAAGGAGTCTTCTCCAGTACTATAGTTCAAAGGCATCAATTCTTTGGCATTTAGCCTTTCTTATGGTCCAACTTTCACAGCCATAACCTTGACTATACACACTTTTGTTGGCTGGGTGATGTCTCTGCTTTTTAGTATGCTGTCTAGATTTGCCATAGCTTTCCTCCCCAGGAGCAAGCATCTTTTAAACATCTCTCTCTTTCTACAAATTAGTATAGAACCACCAACATTTATGCAAACAATTTAAAATCCTACAAAGTTCCAGATTATTAATGTCATGTCTAGTAACCATGATAGGACAGTTCCAGGTCTTGGAACTTGGTTCCCTTTGCCGTAGAGCTGGCTGGGGTTAGCTTCCAATGGTCAAAGGAGCAATGTTTTCCCACCATATTTGTTCTCTTCTTGTGAGGGCTATAGAATATCTGACAATGCAACTCTGCTCCATTTTTAAGTTAAACAGCTGCAAAAAATTCAGAAGACTTTGTAATCCCTGAGGTGTAATCCAACAGTATGGAAACTTGCTTCTCTTAAATACCTCCCTCTGGCATAATTGACTTTTCATGCACATTTTAATAATGATATTTCAGCAGGTTGAGAAAGGGATCCCCCTTCCTCTTTGCTTCAGATTATGTTATGGGCAGAAAAGGGAGGGGGGTATTACAAACTTAATGATTCTCTTTTTTTGGTCAAATCGGCATAATGCAACAGTATAGATAACTTTATTCATACCCTTCAGAGTAAGTTTCTAATCTAATGTGTCCCCCAGACAAAACTGGTTGTCAACAAATGGCTATGGACAACCTGCATATTTTTCCCCTTGGTCAAACAGCAGCTGAGAGAGTGGGGTTTCAAACTGTGCTAAAACAAGAGTGAGGAAACAAAAGTCCCTTATCCATTTGTGTGGTTCCCATATCACTCCTTAGTCATTACAGTTGAATCTTAGGAATATAATTGTTGAAAATTGGCATCAGTTTCCTACAGTTTTGAGTTAGGAACATATGGAAACTGTAGTATAAATACTGACAGAAGCTTCTAAAGGAGGGGGAGGAGGAAGAAGAAAAAGAAGAAAAAGAGTAGTAGTAGTAGTAGTAGTAGTAGTAGTAGTAGTAGTAGTGAGGGCCAACCTTGCTAATTTTAAATAACTGTTTTATTCTTTGAAGTACACAACAGCGTAAAAATTTTGATCATGGCTCCAAACTGCACAAATATGGTATACTTCTATTATTTTTCTTTCTCCTGGCTGCATGTGCTAGATATCTCACACACAATAACTAGACAAAGGTACAACTATGGCAGAAGGTGAATGAGTTTCTTGGTGTTTGCAGTTATTCTAAATCTTAACCCATAGTGCCATTGTGTATGAAAATTTGTGTTTTAAAATAGTTTACTCCCTCTAAATAAACCACTGAAGATGGAAGATCTGACTAGAAGGGGGTGAGAAGCTCTTTATTAATTTGGTTTGTATGCAATTTGATTTGGATGCTCTTTGAAACATGGCATGATGCTGTGTTTCCCTGAAAATATGACCTATCCCAAAAAGTAAGTTCTAGCTTGAGTTTTACATTTGCACCCAATATAAGCCCTAACCCCCAAATAAGCCCTAATTAACAGCCCACCCACTCCGGGGTGAATGGGTAAAAATTAAGCTAGGGTGGGGATGGGGGTTGGAGCTGTGAGATGAGGCTGGAGCTGCCCTACTACTTACCTTCAGACAGTTGCAGCCAGGCCTTGAACAGCCCAACACCTGCCTTGCCAGCCCATTTCTTCTGCAGCTGATAAGGCTTTGCTGAAGGCCTCTGCAGCCAATAACAGAGATCCAGATCTATCTGGAGCTCTGTTATTGGCTGCAGAGGCCTTCAGCAAAGCCTTGCAGGCCTTGTAGACCTTTCCGCCTGAAGAAGGAGAAGTTCCTGAAGGCCTCCGACAGTGAAAAGGAGACTGGGGAAGACGTGCGCAAGTGAGGTGAGTCAGTGGATGACACCCCCCCCCCAAAATAAGACCTGGTGACTTCTTTGGTGGCAAAAAAAAAAGGGTCTTATTTTTGGGAAAATATGGCATTATTTCAAATTAATTTCAATTACTAGTAAAAAATTGGCCATCATCTCTAGTCCTTTTTAATCATCAAAGGTAAGTACCTAAACAACTTCTATGAGAATCAAACAACTATTTCTCTTTGTTTTATTCCCTAATTATCTGGGAATCTAGCTAAAAAAATAGATTTATAATATAAGGAGAACTCTGTTTAACTCTCTTACCTGGGGAAAAAATCCAAGATGGAGAGAATCCCAAGGGATCGTGAATGTACTATAACTTCATTTGGACGTCTCAAATTACCATGCGTGCTTGATGTGTTTTCTGAAATGAAAATTATTAAGAGGGAATTTCTTCTTTTCCTTCAAGCCAACTGCCTATGTTCTGCTGAAGCTATGCTGGCCATGTACTCAGAGCAAGTAGATGAAGAAATTCTTCAAGTAATGCTAAATTGCCAAATTATCAATTGTTCAATCTACTAGTTTCCCCAAGGTTATAATATTTATCAATACAGACAATGCCAAAAAGCTTTTGAAAATGTTTTCCTCCTCCTCCCTAATTATTAATATCTATGTAGTACTTAACTGTTCTGTAAAGACAATCTGTTTTACTAATTCAGGATTCCAAGGAAAGACAAACTGAAGTTGCAGTTGGAAGTAGCTGACCTCCTGAAGGATTGGGATTACTACACTCCTGAGTAAATAGGTTTAAAAATAACAGATGGAGAATGAATGGTGACCAAGAAAAATAAACAATAATCTTGGTTTTGCAAGTTGATAAGTCAATGGACATTGGTGCTAGTGACCAATGACTGTCACTGTCTGGTTTCTCTTGTTGCTTTTTTCATGACAGAAAGAAATAGAAAGTAAAACAACTTTGATTACAAACTTCTCCTGGTGAATGCTAGAGAAATTGCCCTGTTCTTCTGAAGAGTATTGCTGTAGTTATATCGATCATATAATTTTAAGAAAAGCCTACAGTGTATATGTTGCCAGACCTCAGTTTTTCTTATTGCAATTCTGTGCAATTTGCAAAAGAAATGAAGAAGCTAAGTCACAAATGCGACTTGCCTGCCATCTGCTGTTCAGTTAAGAGATGAAAAGGTTATTCATTAAAAGAAATATTTGAATAAGATAAAAGAACCTTAGTATTTACTTTGCAGGGAAAATTGGACTTGTTCAGAGCTCCAAACTGGACGGAAAACAACTATTCCTGGAAGAACAATTTAGATTGAGCTAATTGTCATGAAATATCAGGAGACTTCCATCAATATCTTATTGGTGTATGATTGGTGAGTTTTTCTGACATTAGCAGCCAGTTGCAGAATATTAATCAGCCAGCAACTGTTTGACTAACAGTGACTAAAGCAGTCCTTGCCTTCAGGACTATTGGGCAGAATAGATATAAGTCTTTACATTGCTGTGGTATAGTCCTGAATGAGTTAGAATCCTCTTCAAAATGCAATACATAATTATCAGCTGGTGTTTGGCTACTTAGCAATAATATTTTCTGTGCTTTTGTATATGGCAGGGGTCTCCAACCTTGACCACTTTAAGCCTGGGGATTGCAAGGCCCAGAATTCCCCAGCCAGAAAGCTGGCTTGGGAATTCTGGGAGTTGAAGTCTGCTAGGCTTAAAGTGGCCAAGGTTTGAGATCCCTGGTATATGGTATTTTGCAATCTAACAAAAATTTGAAATAGAAGAATGTGCATATCATCAATGAATTATTTTCTCCATGTTTGATTAGAGTTATTCTTAGAATTTGCCCTCTTTTAATGATGAATATTGTCTTGAAAGATGATGGCCAGAAAATATCTAAATAATCTGCCTTATCTTTCATAAAAGTTTGTTTTCTTCTCTTTTCTGTTCTTTTATTTTGTTTCCTCCTCCTCTGCCTACGCCTCCACTTCCACCTCCATCACCTTCTCCTTCCTTCCTTCCTTCCTTCCTTCCTTCCTTCCTTCCTTCCTTCCTTCCTTCCTTCCTTCCTTCCTTCCTTCTTTCCTTCCTTTCTCTTTCAAATCAGGGTTGACTCCTGGTGACTTCCTGTGCCAGTCCCTATAGTTTTCTTGGCAAGATTTCAGAAGTGACTTTCCAGTGCCTTCTTCCTAAGGCTGAGAGCAGGTGACTAGCCCAAGGTAACTCACATGGCTTTAAACCCAAGATGAGACTAGAACATACTATCTAGTCTGGTACCTCACCCACTACATCAGACTAGCTCAGCATGAAGGCTAGTACTGTGTATATCTATCTAAATTAATAAATATCTATTTTTCATCCACAAAGTTCTTTTGCTTCCTCTCATTCTCAGGATGCTTTAGAATAGTTTGCTATTCTAGACTCTTGAGTTTTCTAGACTTCTTGAGTTTTTTGTGATGGGATGGATGATGCTAATATTCTTTGTTTAGAATTACATGTCTCCATTAATTAAGAGGATCCTAGATGACTGTAGCTTCTAATCCAAAACAAATCCTAAGGGAGCTTGGGATTCCTATGATTTTCTCTTGGGTTCAATTGAGGCATTAAAAATCAGAGTGAATGCAAAGAATTGGCATTATGAATGGACAAAGGGTAGGGTGACATTTAGAACATGTCATCAGGGTTGGAATGGAACTCGAAGGTTTTTTAGATCAAGCAGGAGATCCTGTACCATTTCAGACAAATGGCTACCCAATCTATTCTTAAAAGCCTCCAATGATGGAGCACATACAACCTTTGAAGACAAGCAGTTCCACTGGTTGATTGTTTTTACTGTCAGGAAATTTCTAGATTGCTTCTCTTTTGATTGGTTTTCATCTATTACTTCTTATCTGGTGCTTTGGAAACTAAGTTGACCCCCCTTGTGGTAGTCCCTCAAATATTGGAACAGTGTTATCATGTCACCCATAGCCCTTCTTTTTACTAGGCTAGACATACCCAGTTCCCACAACTGTTCCACATACATTTTAGTCTCCAACTCTCTAACACTCTTTGTTGCTCTTCTCTGCACTCTTTCCAGAGTCTCAACATATTTTTATATTGTGGGGACCAAAACTGGATACAGTATTCCAAGTGTGGTCTTACAAAGCTTTATAAATTGGTACTGAACACTTCATGCCATCTTGATTCTATCCCTCTAATAATGGAGCCTAGAATTGCATTAGTTTTCTTGATGGCTGCAGCATAATGGTGACTCTTATTTAAGTAATTGTCCACTAGGACCCAAAGATCCCTCTCACAGTTACTGTGACTGAGACAATCACCTATTTTGTAGCTGGAAAACACTTCCTATCCAATGTACTCTGCACAGGACCTAATAATGAATGATGATATTTTATAACTAATTTAATGCCTCATCCATGAATATTTCACCCACATTTTCTTCTTCTTAAAAAAAAAAACAGGAATCATTTCTTTTTCATAACATGGCATGAGAATGATAAAAAGAAATGCAGAAGACTTATGTCTCATGACACCAGCAATTATCTGTCAATACATTAAAGCTACTGAAATGAAGATTAAATTACCAGAATCTGGGATTGGTTTTTTCACACTTTTTCTTTTGCAATGACACTTCACAATGAGCTCAGGATTGGTGATCCCACTGTGGCATTGTGTACAGTAATAATAAGCTCTGGATAATAAAAGTGGAACAAAAAATTGGATTAGACAGAAAAGCTGACAAAAAAGACAAAATAGCTTTATTTCATTTCTTCATATTCAGTGGTAATAAACTATTTTTAAATACCCCCCCCCCATTGAATTTATATAATTAAAAGAGATTACCTTTTCAGTTCCTGGACAGAGGCAGCAATGAAAAAGCCCATTGTGTTGTAATGGAGTTTAATTGCAGAAGGTGGGTTGATCAGGATGCTATTGTCAAATAGTATATTAATGATATATGTCAGCATGGCCATTATTCAACTTAACTTATCATCTGCAAAATACATCTAATTCATGTAAGAAGAAAGTAAAGTTGGATCTTAACAGGGAAGGCAAAATATGCAGAGCATGACTTCTACAAATTTTTCAATTCTTTAATAAAAGGTCATGGGACACACGATCAGGAGAGTGAGGCAGAGAATTAGTTAATTAATCATATGCATCTAGCCATCTCTCTTCCTCCTTGAAGCTCAGGGTTGAAACGAGGGATGCTTGATGCTTCCTAAGCATGGTTGTTTCCTTGCAGATGTTGTTTCCTTGCAGATGTTATCCAATCTAAGTAATATCATCATGCTAGTCATCATCATTAGCATTGATTATGTTACCTAGTTTGGGTAATCAAGCATCTTCAAGGAAACAACGAAACTCAGAGAGAACCAAGGACCGCTCAGTCTTTTCAAACCAAAAACTGGGTCTTATGAAAATTCAATTTGAAATTCACTTTCAATAACACTTCATCAAATAAGATTTCTAAATTAATTCAATGGACTTGTGTGCACACACAGAAAAAAATATTCTGAAATTATTTCTAGATTGAAATTAGAGAGGAATTAAAGTTGAGAGATCTAAATCAGACATCACACATCCTGAACATTTCAAACATATTAATTTAGTTCTTAAAAATATTTATAAGTGCATGTGTGTAGACTAGTCCAAGAATCAGAGATGATCTATCAATTGAAGTCAATAAGATGGGTTAGCCTGACTTCAGTGATTTCATCACATCTACTCTAAACATGCATGCACTTGGGCACAATCTTATTCATGTTCAAACAGTGCAAATATTTTGTTGTAAACTTTTAAAATTCAGGAAATATTCAAGTGTTTTTGCCCATAAATTTATATAGTTTGCTATATAAATCTATATAGATTTATATAGTGAATGTGAATTATATTTACTTGCATTTCTTGTTCATTATAAGTTCCACTAAAACTCTCCTTAACAGCCCTGTATAATATTCTAGTGGGGACTTCCGGTTTGAAGGGCTTCGGCAACAACCAGGAATCCACGATCGTGCACGGTTTCTGCCTGGGCTCGCTGCTGGAGCGCCCCGAGCTGGCTGGTTTCTGGGCTAAGCCACCCTGTAGAGGTGGCGGAGAAGGGGGAGACTGCCAGCAGGGGCGAGGAGAGCCACAAGTCTCCTCCTCAGCTGATCAAACTCCCTTTCCTGAAGGCAGTAGGAGCGGTGGTCAGAAATGGCCACCTCAAAGAAGTACTCAACCGGAAAAGAACGTGCAGGAGGAAGATAAGAAGTGAAAGTTTTGGCTGACTGGGCTAAGTTGAAAAAGCAATAACTAAGGTACCCTGGAATTTAAAATTTACAAGAAATAACATCGCTCCCAAAGAAGAGTCAGAAGCAGTGAAAGAAAGTGAAAAGGGAAAGGTTTGGCTTTTTTCTTCTTCTCTCTCCTTCCTTCTATTGACAATTAAGAATAAGAAATTGGAAAAAATCCACTTTGGCTTCAACGGGCAATTAAGCTGAAAATACAACTAAATGCCAAAGGAACAATAAAGATTTCTGGACATTAAAAACTTTTTCTTCTAAAGGAGGAAGGGAGAGAAAAAGAATAAGGGCAGGATCTGGAAGAGGGAGGAGACTGCCTGGACTTTAAAAGAATCTAAAGTAAAATTTCAATAAGACTTCTAAAAGATACATTTTAACTGAAACTTTGCAACTAAATAGTAACCTCAGGAAGAGAAAGTGGAAAAAAAGAAAGAGCAAAAAGAAACAGTTTGTGTGTATTTGGATTGTTTGGTGACTTTTGGATTTTTGGCTATTATATTTGAATGACTAAAATCAATCGGGTGGTTGTTTAGAATTTTTTACAATGGCATCACTTTTCAACGAATTGAAAATTGAACTTAAAAAGTACAAAGAAGAGGCACAAGAAGGGAAGGGTTCCTTTGGCTTCATTTTTCAATTCTTAGAAATGGAGATTTGGAACTATGAGAAACAACAAGAAAAGACTGCAAAACAAGAAGACTGGGACAAAGAAGAAGCCATCTTTAATGAACAAGTAACTCTATGTGGGGAAGAAAAAAGGAAAAGGGGGAAAGAGGATGGAGAATTTAAGATTTAAAAAAACAACCAAAGAAAAAATAATAATTTGAAAAATAAGTATAATACTGGAAAGCAACAGAAAAGGGGAATACAGAAGAGGGAAGTAGAGGTAGAGAGACAAAAGGGTAAAAAGGGGAGGGAGAAGAAGAGAGGGAAGAAGGAAAGGAAAAGAAGTCACAAAGGTCTGGAGCAAGATACAAAGAAACAGGACCTATTTAGAGATAATGGGTAAAAATTTAACTGAAAGGGGGATTCTGTAAAGGTACATGAGATTGTGTTGTTATATTTGAAATAGAAATAACTTTAGAAAATTGGAAACAACATATGATTAGAATGAGGGATAGAATGGTAAGTGTAACTTAGTGAAATGTTTGTGAATAAAGTAAATAAAATAAATGAGAAAATTGAATTAGGAAGGAATGGAAACACTTTAATTAGTCAATGTTTCATAAAATATAAGTGAAGAGGAGGGGAATTGATTATGGAAAGCTAATAATTGTTCCCATAGAGGTATGATATTTAATTGAAAAGCAATGTGAAAAATCTTAAGACTTTAATGAATTTTTAATATTAATGATAGAATTGAATTGGAATGGAATGTTGTTTTAATTATATACATTTATAATTTTTTCTTTTTTTAAAGTATATTGTGTGTAGTTTAAGAATGTACCAAACAGAATCCGAATGGAAGCTATGTATTATATTGAGTGTTATAACTTTAGGGAAAAGATATAAAGACGTCATACTCCAATCAATAACTACAGGAGAAATTTTGTTTAATGAGAAAAGATAATAGACAATTGAAACAGGACAGACAAAAAATATAAATATAATGATTTGAATTGAGATGAAATAAATATAATAAAATTGAGGAAATTAAAAGAGGGGAGAAGCTATGTAAAAAATGTAAAATTGTAATAAGATATGGAATAGAATATAAAAATGAGCATGAACCTGAAATTGTGTCTGCATGAAGAAATGTAACCCTGCTTTCAAAAAAGATGTTTTAATTGTGTTTCTTTTCTTTCTGTGAAAACTCAAATAAAATTTACAAAAAAAAAATATTCTAGTGGGGAAGTGTCAGCCTTCAAGATCTACTACTGCTTTGCATCTTTTGGCTGCCATAAGTAACGGGGGGAGGAGGGGGGATAATGTCTGAGAAGAGAGCTGGAGGTTTTACATTCTTGTGTTGTGTAAATGAGGGGGGGGGAGTATAAATTCCTGCTTAAGTTTCTATTTCTCACTTAGCTTTCTTTTCTCTGCGCAGCTGCAAACCTTTATCAAAATATGCCAAGGTCAATGGACAGAGGCCTCATCATCACCTGAAGATGTCCACATGATCATATTCAGAACTTTTAATTGGAAGAATCTTTTGAACTATGGGGGGTGGGAACAATTCCATCACTTTGTATATCTGATTTGCATGCCTTATTTCTCAGATTCAGAATCCTAACAATGCTACCACTTCATTTTCAGTAAAATATATCTTTTCTCTAATCTATGGAGTCTAAGTATTTCTTTCTTGAATTTTGAATGGAGCACTGACTGACATTATTCTGAATCTTCTCACCAGCCCACCCGGAGAAAATATCCAGTTTCTTCTGAGGGGGTCTGATCATCATGTCATCTCCAGCTAGTGACCAAGAGGATCTGGGAGCTGTGGGGGGGGGGCAATCTCTGCTGATACTAGAGGTTCCAGCAGCTGAATTGCTAGCAGAGCTTACCCTGGAAGGGTTCCAGCTGTGAAGCCCAGATGGTCATTGGGAGTTGGCTGGAAGGTCCTGAAGAGCCCCCCCTGCCCCATCCTGGAATCACCACTACTTGACGGCATGGGAGAGAGGAGCCATGGCAAGAGAGGGAAGGGAGAGAATTTTTACTGGATCGAGCCAGGCATCTCCTCAATGAGGCATTAGGACAACCCCATGCTGCACCAAGGTATGAAGGGGAAGGGGAAGCAAGTTCAGTCAGAGGCAGCCAAGCTGCCCCCACCCCCACAATTCAGCCTGAGCCAGTGCAGCAGCCAGCTGCAGCCCCGGGGCCCCCAGTGGGAGGTATGATCCCTAGAAGACGCAGAGTTCTCAAGCTGCCTCCATTAGAAGTGAAATTTGGGGGAAATCCCAAAGATTTGGGTTTCTTCCTAGCACAAGTTTGGAGCTATATGGAAGAATATGGGGAAGAGTTCACCTCAGAAGCAGCCAAAGTGAGATGTGTTACCAGGGCCCTGGAAGGAATAGCTGCACAGTGGATGGTGACTTTGTATAATGATAACTCCCCCTAACTGCTGAACTATAATGCATTCATGTCCGCGCTGCGGGCAAGATTTGAGGACCCACTGGCGGAGTGAAAGGCTAGGATCAGGATGAAAACCATAAATCAAGGGAGGAGGTCAGTGGCCCACTACACCCAAGAGTTTAGACAGCTGGCATGCCATATCCAAGGCTGGTCCCAGGGAGCCCTGATAGAAGCATTTAAAGATGGTTTAAATGAAGATGTATACCAGAGATGCATTTCCAGAAGGGACCCCAATGATTTGCAGATGTGGTACTTGCTAGCAGAAGAAGTGGAAATAGATTTGACCTGAAGCAGATGCAGGGGGGGCTCTGGATGGAGCAAGCCATCCCCCCAACTCTTCCAAGAGGCCCCTAAGCCTCCGAAGGGAGGAGTGATGGCAAGACCCAAATCCACTGCCTGTTTTCGATGTGGGTAGGAGGGCACCGGATTGCGGACTGCAGGGTCAAGCTGGATCTAAAGGGGGTGCCAAAAGGATGGAAGAAGCCTGAAAACCCCCCAGCCAGGCCTCGCGAAACCGCGCTGAAGATGGGCGAGGTTGTAGAGGTCGCCCCTCCGGGAGGAGAGGAGCTGGGACCT